TTGAGTAAAGTTGAAAAAACACAGTTGAGTTTCTCAACCCTTCTTAGCGCACTGCTGATTACGCATCAAACGAAAAAAAAGAAGGAACACTCACTAAAAAGCTCTGACCGTGACACAGCGAGTATTGCTTCACTTTACCTTTTTTTACTTCACAACGGCTGGCTCCTTGGAAAGGATTAGCCGGCTCCATGAATGTCTCTGATTGCCGCCGTAGAAGAGATGATTACGAAGTTATTTGGAAATTTGGTACGAGAGACGTCCCGAGAGTCACTCGATGTTTTTTTTATTTTGAGGGCGCACCTCTAGCTTTTGTACAACCAGGTGCGAACTGCAAGACCCCAGGAAGTAATCCGTCGCCTCGGAAGTGACGGGGTCAATGAATTTAGTTTTAAAAGGCCACTCACATCGACGCTTTTCCCGACACGGTCATTGGGCTTATACAGCGTTTCAATATACAGGAGCCAGATGACCAGCCTGAAACCCACCACACCTTGGTAGTAGTGTGGCCGCTGTGTGTTCGCGACTGCTTATTTGTTGCGGTATGCCACACAATGTTCACAGCTCACCTGCATCGATGAAGGAAGGTATCACCCTATCCACACTCAGAGGACGCGCCTGTTTGCTCAACCCCCAATGGTATCACAAAGTGAGCGATCCCGGACAATCATACATGAGCACGTGGCGGTTTTACATCCCGGCAGGGTATTATTCGTCTGCGACAAAAAGTCACACACAAAAATCCACAGAACATATCGAAACATGGGCGAATCCGACCCGCGACCAAATAAGATATCATCCGGTTGCCCGACAGTGGGCCGCTCAAGTGCGGAAACGCACAGATGAAGTAGTTCTAAAGCTAGAGCAGATGGGAATAATTTTCAGATGCATCGATAGTGCCTTAACAGACGTTCCGTTTATCATGAAGATTGGACCAACTGGAACTAGGTGATTGTTGTGACCCGTCGAAACAAAAATGCTAAAAAGATAGAAAACGGTCCAAAATCCGAAACGAATCATCCCGGATGGATGATACCTACTACATTATACATCCATAAGGTGGACAAACTTACTGGGGTGATAGCTAAAACAAACCGTATCACACGTCCTGACACACCATTCGCCGATCTTTGAGCTGGATCGTCAGAGCGTGGTGCACGTCGAAGCGGTGGTACATTTAATTGAATTGAGAGACACTGGTCCCGAACTGCGTGTGGTGTGCTCGAGACTGGCTGATGCTCTGGTAATTTCAATCTATTCGGTGTCTCGATTTCGTGAACAGAATGACGATTTACGATCGATTGTACGGGACCAGGACAGTTCACAATCGGCACGACGCGGTCTGTCTGATAAGTGGCCTCAGTATTCTGATCTACCGCGTCATCAACATCAACGTGATTATCGTCTTCGTTTTCCGGGACCGGATCCATGGACCGGTCGGGGCTGTGGACAAAACCATTCGTTTCAACCGGAGTGACTTGTTTGTAGTCCTGTTGAATAGAATGAGGAATTCTACTTGACATCACTGTTTTTGCAGTGTGTAAAAGTAAAAAGAACATCTGACGATAATAATAAGAAAAATGGTACGAAAAATTATGCTTGAACCACGGAGGGTACAAAAAAAACAGAGCCGTGTTTCGGTGAACCACTACCGCTCACCACGACGAGACTACTGCACAGTACAGAAACAATTATACTCAAAGGGTTGATGAGCAGGGGTCCAGCAAAACCCAAGGTCAGGTGACCGGGCACACGACGGGCTTTTCTTTCGACCATTCGTCTGTGAATTATTCACTGCTGCGGAGAAACAGTTGAACGGTAAACAAAAAATCTCCCACCAGATGGTTGTAGGGTTTACCATGTCTTTCATTAGATACATTTCACCAGCCCAAAAGGGGCAACCCTTAGCCAACCAGGTGA